CATAGATACTTTATTATGGTATAGTATTTAAATATATGCCTGAGAAACACATAATATTGGCCCTTTAAAATGAAACCGTATCTGGTTAAATTGAAGAGGAGTAGTGGTGGGGTGTGTGTCTGTGTGTGTGTGATGGGGAGTGTTTTGGCGGTGGTGGGTTTTGGTAGTAAGGGCTTTCTGAATCAATTGCTATTTTTTCCCAGCATAATTGGTGCTCTTCTGTAGCTCCTTAATTATCCTCTGATAATGAGTTGATAATGTAACCAATTAGGTCAATCGTCAGCCAAGTCAACAGCTCCACTCTTCTTTTTCCTCATCCTCTCTCCCAGGTCCAGATAGTTTAATTAAATCAAATTTGATGATAGCTGAGTCTAATGTCGCCTCTTGTGTTACTTAACGAGGTCTTGTACTGTATATGCACCACAAGATCCTACTTTTTTATCTCTTTGTCAATAAGCTCATAATAGTCTCTCTTGTGGTAATTGGTCTTTTTTAAAGTCCCCAACATTTATCAAGCGGAGGACTTTGAAAAACTATTTTTGCCAGAAAACAAGCATGAAACTAAAGAAAAAATGTTTTCATGTTTATATATTTGTTCCTTTGTGCTGCTGCCAGTATTGTTGGCAAACAATGAAGGAAAACTGCACCTTGGAACRTCAACTTAAAAAAATAGTTTTTGTTATTATTTTTTTGAATTTCAGGCACTAATTGCAACTAGAGTATTTCTGGTGTGCCCAAGAATAAATAAGTGCAGATTACACGTCAACATTTAAACGATGAGTACCTCACAGGTAATCTTCAAGAACTGCTGCCAGTTCTTCAAAATCAAAGAGCTAAAACTGTGTTCTCAATCTACTCATTCATTAATCTCCTCAGATTGAGATTTCACACATTTATAAATGATCGTGTTGTGTTGCTCACAGGTGAATATTAAGTTTGTACAGACTTTTTAAAATGAAAACTTTAGAAGAGACAAAAAAAGTAGCCTTTTTGTGCTTTGATTTGAGAAATTGACGGAAGTTTATTTCCATTTTTAATCTTCTCTGCACCAAATGCAACAAGCTGTTTACAGATATTAAAGGGGATTTTTCAAATTCGATACAGTAGAAAGGTTCAAACTAATTGTTTGTTGAAGCATCTTCTGATTTAATTACAGCTTCAGTCTTTCTAAGTAGGAGTCTATAAGTGCGCCACACCTTGACTTTGTAATATTTGCCCACTCTTCCTTATTAAAGTGCTCTGAGTCTTTCAGATTGCGAGGACATAGCTTAAGACCAACTCTCTTTGAGTCAAATTTATATTAAATTTAGGTGGGACGTTTCATCTCATTGGATGAATGTTGAGTTCCCGTAAATGTTTTTGTTGTCCTGTTTTCATCTCCAGATCTTGATGACTGTCTTCACTGTGTCAAATTGGATTTCTAATGCTGAAGAAATGTTTTTGTAGCATTTTCCTGACCGATTCTTTTAACCACTTAGGTCATTTTGACCATCTGTGAGCTCTTCATGAACCATTTATGAACCATCAATTATTTTATTGTGTGTCATAAATCAGTAAAAGTGATGGGAAAAAGCTGCCACGGAGGACAAAAATCATTTCTGAGTCACTTTAAGCAGTTAAAATAAAAGATGCTTTCGCATATTAGTAGTTCCATGGTGTACACAGTTGTGTAGTCTATTTTTAACACGTTTATTTTATTTAGAACAGGGTAACTCTCCTTCCTTGTAGACCTACAGCCTAAACAGCATGGTATACATATTTTTGCAACATTTTAAAATAGATGAAATAAATAAGATTTTCTTTCAACTTCTATAAATTTCTTAAATATGAAACTGTCAAATATAAACTGTGGCAAATTCAGTAGAATATCATTACTGGCATTGGTTTTGGTTCTGAGTATCTGGGCATTTTGGAAGAGTACTTAAAACATTTCAACTTCTATGTATTTGTACATTTGTTTTTCCAAACTTACTTTTGATCTGGTTGAAGAAGGACTCTCAGCCAGTCTGGTTGCAGACAAACCGACATGAGCCCGTCTGATGACGTGCTGAAAAACGCTGTCGTGTGCCAGTTAACCTAATCCTCCCCATCTTATTTGGAGGTAGCCCAAATATCAGTCAATGCTCGGCTCTTAGCGTCCACCACCTCCCTCCCCTCTGCTCCTCACTGAAACACCCCTCTTTATCAGCGCAGTTAGCTGGCTCACCGCAACCCTTAAAGCTCTTATATAAATAAGATTAGTGTCGCGTTTGAGCGTCAGGGAATAAGAGGTGTAATATCTGATGGTTTTATACGCGGCATTATTGTTATCCCTTCTTAGTCTGGTTGATACTCCGCTCTTTCTCTCTCATTTCATATTTGTTCACTTGTTCAGTCCTTCTCTGAGTCTCTTTTTGCAGATTCAGACAGTATTATGGGAGGCTAATCTGGAATAAAGCGTCTCAGCATCAAATGTTCATATTGTTCCGATCTGTTCGTCTTAGCGTCTCTCATCTTTTCCTCGTGGCCTTTCTTTACCTCCCTCATCTTTCTGTTTTGTCTGAGTGTCGTTTCTCTGCACCGACTTCCCTCCACCTCGCCTGTTTTATCGTCTGCTGCTCTGTTTGTTATCAATTAAGAACCTTCAGTCATATTTAATTGCGGGGCCGTGTCGACGTTCGCAGGGGCTGGATCCGTCACCTCGAAGTGGGAGCCGATTTAGGCTCTTTTGAGGCCGTTTTGTCGTCAACCATTTTCACATTTCCTCCTAACTCGCTTCCACAGAGGGCAGGCACCGCACTATAATTACCCAATCTGTTCCCATTCAAACTCCTCAATTTCACCACCTCTCCCTCTCTCTTTCTCCTATACTCTCAATCCCTCTGTGCTTCCCACCTCTTTTGGAAACCAGCAACCCCCTCTTTTTCTTTGGGGGGCTACAATGGGGGTATTAGAGCCGGGTACGGGCTCAGCTGGGGGCTGGCTTTAGCCAGCTGAGGGTTATCCACGATGAGCCCTGAGTCACGGCAGCAATGTCCTGTGATGTCGCTGAGGCGGAAGACTTTTCTTAACACGCTGTTCGCTTTGATGAGCCCTCAGACCCTGCACTCTGCCTGGGGAAACCCTGCGGCCCTCAGCACACACTTGTTGGGTCGCTGGGTGAAGGTTTGAGTCACTGTCGTTACAGAAATAGTGACATTTGTAGGTTTTCCTGATACTTTAGTCATACATCACCCCACTYATTGCACAATGACAGCTAGAAAAAGGCACCAGCTCCCCCACCACACGGAAAGATAAAAAGCAGGTTCAAAAATTGAACGGACAGACGTACGGACAAATCTGTTATATGTACATTGAGTTATCCTGTCCCTATCTGAGCTTACATCATGGCAGCTTTATGGTGATTTATTAGAGATGTTAAAAATGAAAAACAGTGTYGTCAGTCGGAGGCGTCTTCAATTTCATTGTAATACAGATCCTGCCCACAGCCATCAGCATCTACAATAAGTCTTTAGTTCAACGAGTTACAACAACACCTAATTTCCCTCTGGGATCAATAAAGTATTTTTGAATTGAATTGAATTTGAACTGAATTAAAGCTACAGTTTTTTTCCCTTCARTATTATTTTATTCTTACAATTTAAGAGACCAAAAACTGACTCCTATTCATAAATAAAACTAACAAATCCACCTGTAAATTGTCATTAATCCTTTTTTAAAACTCCTGATTCACAGAATATTCATTTGTTTGTTASAACGTTTAAATATATATTTGTTAGTTTTTTTTTCCATTGAATTTTAAAACAGCTTTAAAATGTGATGGTGACTCACTTTTAAATCCCAAGAAAACTGTGAACTGTGTAAAGACAACAAATTCTAGTTTTAGCTGTCAAAATAATAATAAAAAAATCTTAGTTTTCATTTAAATCTCAATTTTTAAGTTAAAAGCAAATTAGATATTAAATACATGAACAAACTAACACAAACACGAGCAAATCAAAGTCTTGACAAAAACAAAACCATTTCCTACCTTTTCCACCAACAAAACCAATCTGTAGTTATTAGTATTTTTAAACAACTAAAGCTGGAATTATGTTGACTACATGTTAACTACATAGACCTATTAATTTACTTGTGTTGTGCTTTTAGTGTCAATAAGCTTAAAAATGAGCAAAAATCTGAGGCTCTTTATTAATGAATATATTGCAGCCCTGAGTTTTAAATCAGCCACCCTCAGGCATCATTTAGTTTTATTATCAGCTTTTATGACAATGCCAGACTCAAACAGAGCGATACAGAGGATGCACGCTGTTTCCAATATTGTCACTGGCTGATAGAGTAATGTGCTCGGCTGGATATGTTTCTCTGCAAAGCGTTTCTGAAAGGTGAACAGTCCCTCGTCTTCCCTCCCACTTTTGAAATGTGACAGATAAAATCCATCTCAGTTTAAAAATTGAGGGATGTGTGTGTGTATGTGTGTGAGAGGGAGTGGGTGTGGTTTGGAGGTGCAGAGAGCAAGAAGGCAGATTTCAAAGTTTTTTTTTTTTTTTTTTTTTTTTTTTTTTTGAGGAACCAGCATTTTATCCAAACCGGTGCTCTTTCTGATGTTGGACTTCAAACGACTCATTTTTTCCCCCCTGTTCAATTCATCTGTTTCTTCCACCTTCTTGCCAAAATACCAYCCCCACCCCTCCTTTAAAAAAAAAAGAAAAAAACTATTGTCATCTGAGCCTAGATTCATTTTAGATTAACATTCACATTTCTTTCTCTCTTGCATTACCTTCAAAGGACCTCCATTATGTTGCCAGTGATAAGGGTGAGGTGGTGTTAGCGGATGTGGCCAAAAGGAAAGCTAAGGAAATCGAAGCCCAAACTATCGCAGCCAACGGTAAGAGAATAATCACTTGTTCAACCAAAAAAAAAAAGATAGAATATATGTCTTTATGATTTCTCCTCACATCTAAAGCAGCAGCAAGGACAATAAAATCAAATCCTGATCACTTAAACACAAACTACAAAACACAATTTATCGTATTCACATTTGATAAAACTTGGTGAGTAAATTTAAAGCACAAATATATAATGTATGTATTTTTTTACAAATCTAACACATTAAAAATAAAGTGTCTTTTAGGTAAATTACCATGGGAGAAAAACTGAACCAAGACCCAGACTTTTTTTGTAAAGACTTTTCTGCTGGCCTTTGACAAACACTCCTGAAAGCACATACCAGAGGGGATCAAGCCGAGTTCCTGATTACAGACACATTCTCACAACTACACGCACACACACACATAGACGTCCTCACAGAGGCTTCGAGGGCCAACGGGTGAGCTGAAAAACATTCAAATTTGTAAGGGAACTAGATGAACATGTYGGATGAGTCCTTCATTGATGCTTAAACACTCCAGAAGGCTGCGCGCGGCGTGGTTGTGCGCAGACAACCAAATGAGGCGAAAGGGCTGTTTAACTCCACTGTATAAGGTCAAAACCCCGAGGCTGAGCGTCTGGCTGTGGCTGGAAATGAAAATGAGCACTTGTGTAACTGTGAGGTCTGTTTGCATGTATTTTCATCTTTTATTTTATTTTTTTCTAATGTGATGCCGAACATGCACCCTCCCTCTTATAAGCCCTTTAATTATGTCCTCCATGATTTACCTTCATCACCTGCAGCGTGGCCTATCCTTGGACGGAGAAAAATAGTGAAGACGGGACAGAGGAGGAGGGACGACAGCAGGAAAAGATGAGGGGAAAAATAAAATATTAAAACAGATGGGAAATTAAATATGAATGAAAGCAAAGAAACGAGGAACTTATCTAAGATATTGATGTTAAAATGATTGACTTGGTGAATATCAATCAGCACCATTTGTTTCCTCGTTTTTTCTCCCTTTTAACACAAGAAAAACAATGACTGTAAAAATATTTCTGCAAATAAAACTAAAATAAGATCAGATTTTTGTCCAAATAATTGTGGCACACTTAACATGTCTTGTTTTGTTTTGTTGCGGTTTGTTTTCTAGGTTTGCTGCTGCAGGGCTGCAAGACTGAGCGCACATTCAATGACTAAATTTACTTTAATTACAGTTGTTTTGTTCATTTGTATATGTAATTTTGTCTGTGTGTGGGTTTGTTTGTCTGTTAGCAAAATATCTTATAAACTAATTAAATACAGACAACACAGCTAGTTGACCTTAGCCAATATAAAACTGGCTACGACTAACTCAGTTTTACATATGCTGAGTCATCACTATCCTCACGTTCATCATGTACTCTAAGCCTTAACAGACCACACAAAATCATATTTTTAAACTTTGACTTGCAAGCTGGCGAGTGATACGCATGTCTTCAAGGATTAGTTTTTTCATTTAGTTAGCCAAATACTCTGGAATTAAAAAGGACAGACATGCAAACAATATAAAACAGTGCAGAAATAATAGTAGAGTCCATATACCACTTCCTCTGGTGTGTGTTTGTGTGTTTKTGTGGGTGTGTGTGTCTGTGTTGTCCACTTACATGCAAAGCGTGCAGACAAGCAGACAGAGCATATTAGCGGCACATAAAAGGCAGGTCATTAATAATGAGTGTCCTGCTTCAAGCAGAGGGCTCCAGTGAACAGGTGTCTCACTTCACACACACACACACAAAATCTGGTGCAGCTATCTTTATGGGGACCTGGCATTGACTTCGTTTATTTTCTACAGCCTAACCGTGACTACCAACCCTAACCCTAACCTCACAGATACCTATGTGACCCTTAAGCTAACCTAAACTCAATTCACAACTTGGTCCTAAAGTTAACCCCCCACCCCTCACCCACCAACAGTGGGTGAGGGGTGGGGGGTACCAACTAACCATAACTAACCATACCCTTAACCATAAGGGTACCAACTAGTACCCTTATGGGTACTAGACTCAGGTCCCTACAAGTAACATTAGGTCCCCACAAGTAGGTGTTTATGCCAAAAAAAAAACCTGTCCCACAACATAGGGAATACCAGTCACACAAGAAGAACATGTAAACGCCATGAAGAAAGGCCAGGAGACAAACTTGCTGTGAGACTAGTTGTGAACTACCGTTCTAGTTTCTGAATGTGCAAATACTGTGTATATTGTATAAACATGTACATAAGCTAAGTGCACATCTTATATTGTCACAGATATGTACAGATGCAGACACTATGTTAAAGCTCAGTTTTGCAAATGTTCAGGTCAGTTTTAAAAGCATTCAGACATCACAGTTCTGCAGTGAGTGAACCCTTAAAACCTGTTTTAAATCCATGATTTGATGAAAAGTAAACAAACTGTGGTTCTGCAGCAGTGCTTGAGATTTTAATTGCACTTAAATATCTCTCTTTTATTTTGYCTGCCCCAAATCGCCTGCATCAGAGTGGTAGTTGGCAAAATGAAACGTAACTTGACGTGGAGGCGTGCACAATGCCGTTTTGGAGGTGTGCATGTTGGCTTCCTTTTTAATTCAACGTTAAATGTTTCTAGTGAACATTTGCATATGTTTCTTTATGGAAGCTCATTTCAAGCTTTGATCAAAAGAAAAGGAGTAAGGAAAAAAAAGTACAAGATCCAAGCTGCTTCTTTGAAAACAGCATGTAAATAAAGGTTTATCTGCATGTGGATGTTARAGAGAAGCATGACTGTAAATAAGATGTATTCAAATAAACATGTTCTCATATTTAATGCAAACCCTTAACAGTTCTGTTGAAGCAGCTGCTCGAGGATATCTGGAAAT